AGAGGGAATGGCCTCAAGTTGCACCAGGGAAAAGTTTAGACTAGATATTAGGAAGCATTTCTTTACAGACGGGTTCTTAGGCATTGGAATGGACTGCCCAGGGAGGTGGTGGAGTCCCCATCCCTGGAGGTGTTCAAGAGTCGGGTCGATTTAGAGCTTAAGGATATGCTGTAGGTGGGAACTGTGCTAGGCGAATGGTTGGACTAGATGATCTCCAGGGTCCTTTCCAACCTAGATGATTCTGTGATTCTGTGAAAACACACTTGTAGGTCTTAACCACCACTGAGTAGTTTTTCTAACTGGTGATGCCTATTAATCAAAATGATTCTGTGTCACAGGTTTAGGTGGAAGGACCCTCCCAACTGACAGAGACATCCTTTCCTCTGGCTGTAGGTAAAAAGTTGTCAAAAGACAGTTTTACTAACACCAGTAAATAAAGTTAAAAAAATCATAGAAGCTACTCTAAATTTAAAAGCAGAAGCCTAGGGAATTTCACATCTCATTACATTTGAACCCACAGTACAGAACTCAAAACCTGTAAGAACTGGGAAGTTTCACAAGCCACTGCCTGGAATTTTGTGATCTACTTCTAATAAAAAAAAAAAAAAAAAAAAAAGCCAGTGTTATTTTCCTAACTGTAAATACACAATCATTCTAGATGGTTTTCCAAAGCAATGCATTAGCAGACCCATCATTTAGTTTCATGTGCCCAGGTGTTGCCACTTTACAGAGCCCAGGGAGAATTTCAGATTGCAGTATTCTAGTTGCAAAATCAGACAAACTAAGCTGAAACTGGAATTTTCTATTGGCACAATTTAAAGAAAGCCTCAGCTCCTGGAAGCTTTTCTCATATGGAAAGGTGAAAAGCCTCAGAACAGCCCAGCTGTATTTCTAGCTTGGATGTTTGATTATGCTGCATACACCAGAAGCCAAATGAAACCGTAGTATGTTCAGAAATATGACAGAACACAAGATGCCACCCTACCCACGAAGTCTCCAACCTTACCCAACTCAAATAGAAGGGCCACTCTTAGGCTCAGGGTGCTTTTAGGGAATCCGAGAGACCATCTAAGCCACACACATCCAAGTCAGGATGAACTACATGGTTATGATGCTACAACCAAATCCAGAACAGCAGCAGCCTTGCTCGAGTGTGCACAGCTCAAGGTTCCCCTTTCCTGGTCCCCTCCTCACCACCCAGCTAAGAACTCAGTCATGCCCAGGTGGACAAATGGCTGTTGTTCCCCTTTTCCCCAGTAACCTACAGTGAGGAAGCCCTGCATCCTCTCTCTGCCAACAAAAAAGCAGATACAGTATCTTTCCAGCACTCCGGCAGCTGTCATTCACTTTCCTCCACCCTCAGCTTCCAAAAGAGCAAATTATTGCCTTTTGCTTTCTGCTGCAATTTCCTCTGCCACAAGAAAGCAACCTAGTATTCCTCTGGAACAGGTAACATGCCATGGCAATACAGGAATATGAATGCAGGATATATCTTACCTTACAATTCTTGCATGATTATTTTCTGAAGTTAGAAATTATGAAATTATTGTAACACCTGTGCACAGTTAATAAGAAAACCGTATTCAAAGTGCAGTTATAGGCAAACAGCAAGGCCGTATCAAAGGCAGCTTCACATGGGTCTTTCCTGCAGCAGCATCAATGTTTTCATTAGTGACTTAAGTGATGGAAGAGGGAGGCTCTGCTGCATAACTTTGCTCTTGAAACCAAGCTGGGAAAGATGGGAAAACACAGCAACTTCAGAATAACTTCGCTGAAAATGGCCTACAAACTAAAAAATTAAAAACCAGCATCATGCCCCAGTGAAAAGTGCCCCTATCTTCCACCCTGCCACAGGCAGGGGGTGCAGGAGTGGCCTCCCTGGGAAGAGGCCAGGGGCTGTCCTGCGCTGGACACGGCTGGTTCCATCGGATGCACAGCAGAGCAGATACCCACACTGCAGCCCACCAGACAGTCCGTGCTGGGGCAGATGGATATTCCTGGAGAAACTGTGGTCCATGGAGCGCCAGCACCAGAGCAGGGATAAAACCATGAGAGGGAACAAGCTGCAGCAAGAAACTGCCATGTACTGACTGCAACCTCCCACCTCATTGAGCCCTGTGGCGGCAGGGGGGCAGAGCTGAGAGCAGAATGGGGTCTGGGACAGCAGGGAGGAGAGGTGCTGTTTCAATGTCTGGATTTTTGGTTTCTCACTCCCTGAACCTATTTCAATTGGCAGTAAGTTAATTTGCCCCAAGCCAAGTCAGTTTTGCCCACAATGGTAACTGGTGAGTGATCTCCCTGCCCTTATCTCATCTCAACCCACAAGCTCTCTCATCCTCCTGTTCCCCCATCTCACCCAGGAGAGAGAGTGAGCGAGGGGCTGGGTGGGCGCCTGGCGCTTTGCCAAGGGTAACCTGCCAGATGAACCACCTTTCAAAACTCTCCCAAAGCCAAACCCTTCATTTAAATTTCAAAGGAGTGTGCACTCGTGAGTTTGAAGACAAGTGCAAGCACTGTAACTATATTTACGGTTCAAAGCACCTTCTAAGTCTTAGCAAATGCAAGTGCACACCAAGACCAATCCCCCACTGTCATCAAAATTATAAATTTAATAGGAAAAGTGGGTTTTTTGGTTGGTTGGTTGGGGTTTTTTCCAATGACATGTTGGCTTGGGAGTAGTTCCATCATTTCTCTTACAAAACCAGAAATTGCCTTATTTCAATAGGACAATCAGAACAATGCTCTCAAAGGCCAGTTGGGTTTTCAACCACTTGCCATTAGCAGATGATGATCATTGCTGCTTCATCAGCTTTTTACCTGCTTGCATTGGCAGAGTTTTCTATAAATGAAAATTCACCTGGGGATTTCATACTGCTCTGAGACAATTTAGCCAACTCAAATACAAGATGCACTGAGAAAACAGAGTCTGAATTGCCTTGATTACTAATAAGACCTCACTTTTCCAGGACTGCAATTATTTACCTTTATTTAAGAGAAACTAAGAGATTGTGCACCAAATGCTGCTGAACCACAAGACCAGAGAGGCGTCCTGCATTTCTTCTTACCAAGTTCATCCAGCCAAAAAGAATAAATAATGAAGCACGTAGGTTTCTGCATACACTAAACAGATCCATTAAAGTGGATTTATCTGCACCATTTCCCTTAAATTACAGTCATGCCCTACTTCTGTGCAATTTTCTATATTTTGTGAAATTACATTACTGGCAATCTAATCTCTCGTTTGGTGGCACTGTTACAGCGGGTTATGAAATACCTGTTGGGCTGATATTGGAAGTCCTGCTGACTTGTGAGTCCTGCGGCAAAACCTGAACACTGCTAGATGGCTGAAGAGACAGTCATATTACCTGCATCATCACTAAATAGAATAAACTTCACTTAATGTTCCCTTTCACTATTTCTGTATGTTTTCTAAAACAAAAGCATGTTCATATTAAGAGAGTGCTAAGTATTGAATAATGTAAGAAGCAGGAGGAAGAATACTGCTGTCTGGTGATGTGGTTCTGCTTTTTATCTCTCTCTCAAGTTCCACTTTGCAGGAGACAAACAAAGCAGCACAGCATTTCCCTCCCAGTCCTTGTCATCGTAGGAGGTGTTTTATTCTCTCTCACCATGTGCCTTCTCACCAGTCCTTTCAGCAGCGCCATCTCCATTAAAATATGAATATTCATATACACAGGCAAGCGCAGTATGCTCACACAGCATACCAGAATAAATCTTGGCATAAATAAGGCAATTATTTAATCATACGTAAGGGTTTTATTACCCTTGAGCAACCCTTAGGTTTTACTAAACAATTAAAATTCTCTGGGGTTTTCATTCACTTGCCTGAGAAAAGATTTTTCAAGAACATGTGCTCATTAGGGTTGGAGAATGTTTGGAAAGAACAAAAACCTTACCTAGTACATGTTTATAGCTGTCCAACACTAAACTTGTGGGAGCAGATTTAATCTCATAAACTTTACCCAAGTGGCACAAAAGTCAATCAGTTTGGACCACATCACACATTTATGTTTAGAAAATAATCTAATTATTTTGCTTTCACTATTTCAAAACTTAATTTGCATACCTGAATGTTTATATCTCTGCAAAACAATTTCTAATACATACAGAAATTTACTAAAAACATAAGCTAAGAATAGAACTGATTTTTTTATGTTTAAATCAGGATGAGGTCTAAGAAGAGCCAAACCTTCCAAACTATTCTCAATTCAAGGTTCACTGTAGTCTCATAGCCCCTGTAATTCCCAAATGGCTTTAAAAAACTGCTAAATGGCATTTATCCATTTTTAGAAAAATCTAAGACTAACTTTCAAGCACTGCATTTTCCCCAACAGGAGAAAAAGTGCTTTTGAGAAACTGAAAATAAAGCAGGGGCACCACAGCAGCCAGCTCAGCCACACCAACCAAAAAATCCAAAGGAAAGCTTTTAATTTATTTTCCATTCAGGGGCAGCTCTGTCCGGCCAGTGGGTGAGGACAGGTTATGTGAACAAAAAGCTGTGCATTTTGTTCAGACCTTAGGTAAGAGCACCAAATACAAGCTAGCTCAGAATTTTACCACTGTTGCGTGAGGATTCTTTAAGGAGCAGTGGAACCCAGGTGACTGCTGGGACATGGCATTTCTCCTTCCTGGCCACCAGAGCCCGATGGGGAGCACTCTCAGCCTAAGGCTTCTCCCATCTTGGTTTGACGATTGCAGCTGCTGCTGGTTTTGCTTCTGGCTCCAGCCAGGAGTGAAGCCGAGCCCCTAATCCAAACCAGGGGGTACACCTCGACACAGACAAGGCCACAGAGCGAGCAGTGCCTCTACCAGCATGCACATACACAGCTAGGGCACTCTTGTAAATCCAAGAGACCCACCAAGGCCTCCATCTCCAGCTCACCAACAAGACCTGCTGTCACCCACACTCTCCAGCTGTGCCAGGAAACCGCACGCACAGAGCCTTCAGGCACCGCCGTGGGATTTATGTTCAGCTAATACACGTGCCCAGACCCCAAGCCCTGCCGCTGGCTTCTACCTGTGCTCTTTCCCACTGCTGGCATCCTCCTACTCACCAGCTCGAAGTCTGCTGGGGAGGTGCATTAGCGAGGTTCCCATGCACGCCAGGATACTCACAGCACCTTTGTGTAAAGGCACCGGCCAGCGCGCGGCCTATCTGCAGACCCTGTAGCCCCTGCAAGCCATGGCCTCTTCCACCGTGGCAAGTGCCCAGACCTCCGGAGAACACACATCCACATGCGCAGATGCAGCACAGAAAGTAAAGTCAAGCAGAAAATCATGAGAAAAAATATTTAATAAGAAACTGGGACAGACTGCAGTGATGAGGCACAGGGCTCCGTCAGACAAGAGCACTGCTTACATAAGACCATCCCTTTATCCCCCTTTGATTTTTCCATGTATGTTCTTCCCACATCTACCCTGACCCTTTGGGCCCTCTGCTCCCTCTCCCAAACAATGTGCCCCTGACTACTTTTCCCCACCAATCCCAGTTTTGCTACATCCCTGCCCAAAATTGGTATTTCTGGTAACATTACCTGGGTCCACCCACCTTGCACAATATTACTGATACAGCACAGTGAGCCATGCAAGATTGCCCCCAACAGTCCCTTCAATTTTATGCAAGGTTTGACCATCTTCCCTTCAAACATCACCGAAATTCATCCATCTTCCACAGCAGCTATCTGAATTTTGTCAACTTCTCGCTCTGTTACTTGTGTTCGGCAGTTTCTCATATCATGACTTGCAGTTTCTCATGCTCTTCACAGTTGGCGAAACCTCAGGCCAGGGCCCAAACATCTGCCTGCATAACGTTAAGAAGACTTTTTTCAAAGACAGAAACAAAAAGAAGTGCAGACACTCTAAATTATCGTGGGTTTACTACGTGACAGAGCTAGAGACATGTCTGCGAAACAGTTAGGGTGCAGTTATCTGCCACAGCCAAACGTCTGGTTCCAGGTTTCATACAGCTCCAGGTCCTTTGAGGAGACGCTGGGCCGCACGGTCCTGAAGGCGCTTTCGAAGTCCAGGAAAGCAATAGGCCGGACCTGCTCTGGCATGATGGTTGCAATGTCTGTGGACTGAAGACTGCGGATAGGGCCCAGGGAAGCTTCTCGGCAGAGCTGGGTCATGTCTGCCCCAGAAAACCCGTTTGATTTCTTAACTATGAGCTCGATTTCCTCTTCATTTAGAGAGCAGTGCTCCTTTGACATGAGGCGGGTAACAATCTGCTTCCTAGCTGAGGCTTCTGGCAGAGGAATGTACAGCCTCTTCACTAGTCTCCTTCGCGCAGCTTCATCGATCTCTTGGGGTCGATTTGTTGCTCCAACCACCAGAATACGATCTTCAGAGGAGGTTGTTGCCCCATCTAACTGGACCAGAAATTCAGTTTTGATTCTTCTCGACGACTCATGTTCCCCATCTCCACGCTGAGACAACAGGGAATCAATTTCATCAATGAAGATCACTGCTGGCTGTTGACACCGTGCCACAGCGAACAGCGCACGGACCATCTTTTCCCCCTCACCGACCCATTTAGAAGTTAGAGAAGAGGCGCTGATGCTAAAAAATGTGGCTCCAGACTGGCAGGCGATGCACTTGCCTATAAGAGTCTTACCAGTCCCAGGGGGGCCAAAGAGAAGAATTCCTTTAGGAGGACCACGCAACCCAGTGAAGATGTCTGGCCTCAGCATAGGCCAGACAACTATTTCTTTTATAGTAGCTTTAGCAAACTCAACCCCAGCAATGTCATCCCAGTTGACAGGAGGTCCATGGTCCATGATCTCATGCATGATGAGTTCAACCATTTTTGGTTCTATGTTCTTCAGTCGTTCATCTACCGGCAGCAATGGATCTGTCGGTCCTCTTGCATGAGGTTTACACTGTGCTCCCCCATTTTCATTTCCGTCTTGTTTTGGAACTGGAGGAACAAACTTGCCAAACGGACCCCGAGATCTGCCTGCACCTAGCGATTTTTTTACACCTCCATGTGAGGACACTGGTGCACGCTGGGGCGGGTTTTGAGATTTCTTTTGCTGATCCACCCACAGCTGTTCTTTTGCAGTTCTAAAACCAGGAATGCTGCTCTCTTCATTTCTGTTTCTATACCCTGAAGATCTACTGGTTTCTGTACTAGTAGAAGCCTGGCATGCAGCAAGGCTAGGAATCACTGTGCTGCCTTCGTCAGCCTGACCATAAAACACTTTTCTTTTTCCAGAACTTGTGGACCATGCAGGTACAGCGGATTGATTGGAAGCAGGCAAATGTTGTCCATCATGACAGTTACCTGACACTTTCAGAGAACTACTACTTGTTGCTTCTTTACTTCCAAATAGTGGAGTTGCCTGGAAACCTGTATGACCCTGTTCGTTTAAGGAGGCCAAAGAAGCAGGAAGTATATCCAGAGTTTTGGTCATAGGAGGCACGCTGCTTTGAAGAGACTTTGAGGATGATGGATGCTCAAGGAGATCTGGTCCCCGACTTGCACATTTTGCTGAGCCAGCACAGAGCTCAGTCTCTTCAGCACTGCTGAGGATACTGAGTTTAGGAAGACCTGGAGCAGCAGAAGCACTGACCCCTTTATCAGCTAGTACACAGGCAGCTGTTGGTGCCATCTGAGAGCTCTGGAAATTTCTGCCAGCCTGCATCCTCTCCTGCACACACTTTAAATCAAGTACATTATCTGTTGTCAAGGCAGATTGCCACTTGTCACTGTCATTTTGCTGACACTTTGCCAAAGTCAAAATGTTTTCAGCGTAGTTATTCAAGCCAGTCTCTATGTTGTCAGAGTCAATAATTGCAGAGTATTTCTCTGCGTATTTTTTAAACAGGTTGGCAGCACAGACCTGAGAGATCTCCGAGTTTGCCCATGCATACTGAATACGCAGGATTTTGGCACGGTATTCATCTGCCTTCTGTCCGGGTGTGCAGGTGCCAGAGGTAATAGCAAAGTAACTTTTCTGCCAGTCGCTCAGGTGCACGTTGCTGTGGGTGGGGGTTTCCATCACTGACACTGAAACATACATAAAATACCCGCTGTTATAAAATGCATTTCACAGCTATATCCTCTGATTGCTTTCCCCCTTTCCTAAATACATATGCATGAGAACATACATTATTTTAATTGAAAGAAATAGCCCAGTAGGTCTTGTAAGCTACTTAGCCAGGCTGGACACTTTACCATTCTCAAAAAGAAACCAGCTTTGTCGTGTAAAGCTATTTAGACTGAGGTTCGCTTTTCTTCCTTGTTCAAAGAAAGAAAAGAAAACAACAAAAAAAATAGTTTGCTTCTAACCAGAGGTCTCCTGGGGAGGGAAGTAGACTGCAAAGAATGGTAACAGATGGCCAAACAAAAATTGGCTTTGTTAAATGAAATCACCAGTGTCTTCACTCTGTTTGACAGAATACGGGGCACAGTGCAGACAAGGACAGATTATAAATCACTGTCAGAATGATGACATTTATTACAATGATGGTAATAAAAATGAAACAATTCAACTAATAAATAAAACTATACACAAAGTCTCTGAGGGAAGGTAAAAAAGTGGAACGAATAAGCCTGAATGTAGTAAACTTTCAGATTAAGAAAATATTTACAGATTCATAGCAAATGTTCAAAACTATTTATTCCACTCAGAACGTACTAAAATGTCCCCATTTTACATTTGAGAAATGAGAAAGAAGCATTGCTTTAAACACACGGGAGCTTGTTTCTCAGATTTAGAAAGTAGAATTTAAATTCCTTCAGTGATTTTTACTTAAATAGGAAAGATGACATTTGGCTAGGAAGGAGCATTTTGCTAGACTTGAAAAGATATGCTCGTGTTTACGATGTGTGTTCAACAACGTCTTTCTCTGCAATATATCATGTGCAGAGATATTTCTGGTAATGTCAAGAATTCATAATTTCAGAAGAGACGCAAGCAAAGCAGAATGACAAGAAATATACCACTGCCTCAACAGGGTTTGCAGGAAGCTCTGAACACACAGTATTTTTGATTTTACGTGTCCATGAGGGACACAGGTCTAATATGTGACAGGACCTAAATAAATCAAATTCTAATTTTTCTTAGCTTCAGTATGTACCAGGATGTTCTGGCCAGATAATAATTAAAATCTGTTAAAGTGGAGGTCCATATAGTCTGCACCCCTTCCAACAGAGTACACGTCAACTTCCAATCTTCTTCTGAATGGGCTACAGAGGATGTATGAGTGCCGATCAAGGTACAGGTGTAATGTACATGCAAGACTGGGGAGATAGAGCTGATGAAATCTGGGGTGTGGGGGGGTTCCCTTTATTTACTTTCAAAAAGTCTTGCGTCAGCATTAGGCAACAGAGCACAGTTATGGGTTACACACATAATGAGCAGCAAGATAAGTTATTTAGCTTTGGATTTTTTCAGACTTCAGCCCAACTTTGCAGTTTAGAAAAGTCAAAATATCTTTTACCTGCAAATTCAATGCCTTTTCATGGGAAGCCAACTAACACTTTCTTTGAAAAGTAACTGTGAACTTGCGCCTACCAAATAAGGTGCAAATTCCCACCGTAATCCATCTGAACAGGCGACAGAAGGCCACAGCCTTTCATTTCGTTTCTCTACACAACACACTAAATGTTACTGTGAACATAACTTTTTTCTAACTGTTCAATCAAAACCACATTATGAAACATAGAAGCTAAATTCAGAAAACATTTAGTAGCAGGCATCTGTTTCCATGAAGTATTTGCATCGAGAAATAAAAGCTCAAGTTTGCCACCACTTCCTAAAGATTAGGTAATCATCTTCACAGCATTGAGAGAAGGCCGCAATAAGTGAACGACAGCTAGTTTAAAATTTCAGGTTGACTTTTCTTAAGTATCTTCTAATATCATATCATAATCTAATTCCTATTAGTTGTCCTCGTAGTCTTACTGTTTCTCCCCAAGAGATAGCCAAATGCGTACATGGGCAGTCAGCCGTTCTTCAACGGCCAAAACTACCCCCAGATGTTGCGGACACCGTACTTGCAAACAAGTATCTAAAGTTGCGGGTTTATCAAAGCGCTGAGAGCAAATAAATTTCTGGCATGCAAGTTCCAGCCTCAGCAAACAAAGGGGCGAGTAACTACCTGAACAAGCCACGTGCTGGATGTCACGACACTCATCCATGAGCATACACACCCATTCCGAACAAGGGGGAAGCCTGCTCGCCCGTAGGCAAGAAGAGCTGAAGGGCAGCACGCCAGCTGGCCAGGCAAGGCTGAGCGTTCCGCCGCAGCGGGGCAGGCACAGGCCGATAACGTCCAGCCGGCAAGAAGCCCGGGCCCCCTCAGCTCCGGGGACCCCTCAGCTCCGGGGACCCCATCGGCACGGCTTCAGCAGGTCAACCCCCCTCACCAGGCCGGGGGAGGGGAGCCCTCGGGGCTGTGGTCTGGGGCTTCCCAGCGGCCTTCGTCCCTCCTCCCCGGGACGAACGGACACACACCCCCGCCTCCACGCACCTCGAAACCGGCCGGGCTGGGTGGGCCCGCCCGTACGGGCTC